CCCCACCTGGGGATCAGTCACAGAGGGAAACAGCAGTTCTACTGCAGCAGCTCTTGGTTTACAGATAATATGCTCCTCCCTGACTCCAAGGGCAACGGGAGGCACGTTTTGGGAGCCCAAGTGGCGGCAGTCCTCTGTGGTTCCATTTCTTTGTCTGAAACTCCACTGCCTGGTCCAACAGTGGAGCTGCGCGGCCAGACCCTGTGCTCTGTGAGGCATCTGCTGGCTCAATCATTGTTCGCTCCCTTGCTGCTCACCCTGCTGGACTGCTCCTCTCCCCCCCCCCCACCCCCCTTGCATCTCTCTGTTCCTCCGGGAGAAGAAAGCACCTGCTACTGCTGGCTTCCTCTACTAGGCAGAGCCTCCAGCTCCCGGCTGCAGTGCTGCACCTGCAGGCCATCTGTGCTTTCCTCTCTTCTTGTGTCCTGGTGTATTCTTGGCTGCCCACCTTTAGATGTCTCAGTATGCAGGCGTCTCAGGCCTGGGATTTCTTTGTTAAATTATAGTTGGTTAAGTTGTTGAAATTTCTGTGATCTCTTTAATGTATTGCTGGATCTTATTTGCTGATATTTTGTTGAGGTTTTTAGCATCTGTATTCATTAGGAATATTGGCCTATAATTTCCATTCTTTGTAGTATTTTTAGTTGCTTTTGGAATTAGGATAATGCTGGCCTCATAAAAGGAAGTCTTCCCTCCTCCTGAATTTTCTAGAGTAGTTTGCGGAGACTAGGTGTTAGTTCTTCTTTGAATGTTTCGTAAAACTCGCCTGTGAAGCCATCCAGTACAAGTTTGTTTGTTTGTTTTATTACTGCTTCAAATTCATTAGTTGTTATTGGCCTATTCAAGTTTCCTGATTCTTCCTGATTGAGTTTTGGAAGATTGTATATTTCCTGGAATTTGTCCATTTCACCCAGGTTGTTCAGTTTGTTGGCATATAGTTGTTCATAGTATTTTTTTTTTTTTACAATTCTTTGCATTTCTGTGGTGTCAATTGTTACTTTGACTCTTTTATTTCTGATTTTATTTATTTGACTTCTTTCTTTGTTTCTTGATGAAGTCTGGCTAATGGTTCATCAATCTTGTTTATCTTTTTAAAGGACCAGCTCTTGATTTCATTGATCTTTTATGTTGGTTTTTAGTCTCTATGCCATTAATTTCTGCTTTGATATTTATTATTTCATTTCTTCTACTTCTGGGCTTTTCTTGTTGTTCTCTTTCTAATATCTTAGTTGTGGGTTTAGGTAGTTGATGTTTTTCTTGTTTCATGAGGTAGGCCTGTAATGCTATGAACTTCCCTCTCAGAACTGCTTTCACTGTATCCCATAGCTTTTGGGTAATTGCATGTCCCTTTTCATTTGTTTGCAGGAAGTTTTTTATTTCTTCCTTGATCTCACTGTTAACCCATTCATTGTTTAATAACATGCTATGTGGTCTCCATGTGTTTGACTGATTTTGAGATTTGTTATTATAGTTTCATGCCATTGTGATCTTAGAATCCTATATAATAAAGAGCTAATATGCTAATTAGATGGAGGAACAACCTTCTAGAATGACCAGTGGGCAGGGGTGGGGCCGTAGGGCCGAGAGGCAGCCAGGGCCATGAGGCAGCTGGGGCTGCAAGGGTCAAGCCCCTTGCCCAAATTTCGTGCATCAGACCTGTAGTATACTTGATATGATTTCAATCTTTTTGAACTTGTAAAGGCTTATTTTGTGTCCTAACATGTAGTCTATCTTTAAGAATGTTCCATGTGCACTTGAGAATAATGTATATTCTGCAGCTTTGGGATGAAATGTTCTAAAAATATCAATTAAATCCACCTGAGCTAGTGTATCATTTAAGGTTGCTGTTTCCTTGTTGATTTTTTTGTGTGAAAAATCTCCAGTGATATCAGTGAAGTCCCCTACTATGACTGTATTGCTGATAATCTCTCCCTTAAAGTCCTCCAGGAATGTTTTTTAATAATTTTTTTTATTTGCTGAATCCAGATTGGTTTCTAGTGCCCCGAGTGTACATCAGCCTCTTTTGTACTTTGAGGCTTTTATTTTTATTTATTTATTTTAATATTTTTTTAATTGATTTCAGAGAGGAAGGGAGAGGAAGAGAGAGATAGAAACATCCATGATGAGAGGGAATCATTGATCAGCTGCCTCCTGCACATTGGACTGAGCCCGCAACCCAGGAATGTGCCCTTGACTGGAATCGAACCTGGGACCCTTCAGTCCACAGGCCAATGCTCTATCCACTAAGAAAAACCGGTTAGGGCTAGTCCTCCAGGAATTTTTAGATATATATTTATGTGCTCATTTATTGGGTGCATATATATTTACCAGGGTTAAATCCTTTTGTTAGATCAATCCCTTTCGTATTATGTAATGACCATTTTTGTCTTTTTTATCACCTTTGTTTTGAAGTCTATTTTCTCAGATATAAGTATTGCTATCCCCATCTTTTTCATTTCCATGGGAAATTTTCCCCCATTCCTTCATTTTCATGTTGAGTGAGTCTTGTTCTGAGGTGGGTCTCTTGAAGAGAGCATATATATGGGCCATTTTTAAAAAATCCATTTAGCTACCCTATGTCATTTGATTGGAGCATTTAAGTTTATTATTATAGGTACTTATTTATTGCCATTTTTATTCTTTATGCCTATGCTCCTCTAGTTATATATTTTTTATTCTTCTTCCAACAGTCCCTTCAGCATTTATGCTATGCTGGTTTAGTTGTAATAAGCTCATTTAGCCACCCCCCCACCCCCCCCTTTTTTTTTGGTCTGGAAAGCTCTTTATTTTCCCTTCAATTTTATTTATTTGTTTATTTTTAAATATATGTTTATTTCAGAGAGGAAGGTAAAGGGAGATAGAGATAGGAATATCAATGATGGGAGACAATAATTAATTGGCTACCTCCTGCATGCCCCACACTGGGGATCAAGCCTGCAATCTGGGCATGTGCCCTGACTGGGAATCAAAAACATCTTCATTGGATCTCTCTCTGCCTCCTGAATTTGTGTGACTTTTTCCTTCACCAGGTTTAGGAAGTTTTCTGTCATTATTTCTTCAAATAGGTTCTCTACCCCTTGATCACTTTCTTCTCCCTCTGGTACTCCTATGATGCAGATGTTGTTACAGTTCATGGTGTCCCAGAGTTCCCTTAAACCAGGGGTCCTCAAACTTTTTAAACAGGGGGCCAGTTCACTGTCCCTCAGACCGTTGGAGGGCCAGACTATAATTTTTAAAAAAACTATGAACAAATTTCTATGCACACTGCACATATCTTATTTTGAAGTAAAAAAACAAAATGGGAACAAATACAATATTTGTATTTGCATGTGGCCCACGGGCCGTAGTTTGAGGACCCCTGCCTTAAACTCTTGTCATACTTTTTTCTTTTTTAAAATATATTTTTATTGATTTCTGAGAGGAAAAGAGAGTGAGAGAGAATTAAAACATCAATGATGAGAGAGAATCATTGATTGGCTGCCTGCTACATGCCCCACACTAGGCATGTTCCCTAACTGGGAATTGAACCATGACCTCCTGATTAACCACTGAACCATGCCAGTCAGGCTGTCATTATACTTTTTAAGTGTTTTTTTTTCTTTTTGCTGCTCTAATTGAGTGTTTTTTCTACCTTGTCTTCCAAATCACTAATTTGATCCTCTGCTTCCTCCAGCCTCTTTAAATTCCTTCTAGTGTATTCTTGATGTCAAATATGGTATTCTTCATTTCTGACTGGTTCTTATTCATGGTTTTTCTACGTCCTTTTTAATGCTGATGTCGTCCCCACTAAGTTCCGTGTAGTTCCCATTAAGTTCTTTGTAGTTTTCACGTTGTCGCTCTGTGTTTGTTTCTATGTATTAGGTCGAACTGCTATGACTCCCAGTCTTCATGGGGTGGTCTTTTGTTAACTGTCCTGTGGGACCCAGTGGTACAATCTTCTTGACTTCCTGAACTGGATGCTCTAGGATTGTCTCTTTTGTCACTTCTTTGGGCTCTCCTGTTGTAATTGGGTCTTTTTAAAAACATATATATTTTTATTGATTTTAGAGGGAGAGAGAGATAGAAACATCAATGATAGGGAATCATTGACTGGCTGTCTCCTGCATGCCCCCCACTGGAGAGGGAACTCACATCTGGGCATATGCCCTGATTGGGAATCAAACCATGACCTCCTCGTTCATAGGTTGATGCTCAACCACTGAGCCACACGGGCTGGGCATAATTGGGTCTTGATTGTTGTTTTCCCATTCTTTGGTGGGATCTCCTCTCAGGCTGGCTGACTGTGAGGCTCAACCCTGACCATGTCATGTGAGCTGTTGTACAAGTACAGTTGTTCTAATGCTCCACCCAGAAGTTAGTGTCCCCACTTGACCAATTGGTAAGACTCTGTTGATTGCTGTATTTAAGGATATAGTCTAGCCCTGGCCAGGTAGTTCGGTTGGTTGGAACGTTGTCCTGATTCACCAGTGTTACAGTTTCAATCTCAGTGAGATGAGAAATGAGTAAAGCTGCAGGAGACCATGAGCCAGGAGTCAGAATAGAGAAATCAGAATTGGAGTGAGAACCGAGAAGAAGCTGTGTGTCCTTGGAAAATTCGTTAATATTTTAAGCTTTAATTTCTTTGTCAGTTAACTTTCTGTGAGGAGAGAAGCTATTGTGATCCATTTTAACCATTTTAAAGTGTACAATTCAGTGGCATTTAGTACATTCACAATGTTGTGCAATCACCACCCCTATCTAGTTCTAAAATATTTTCATCACCCCAAAAGGAAAACCCACACTTATTAGCAGTTATTTCCTATTGCCCCCTCTCCCTCGCTCTGCACTGTTACTGAATGCCTGTTTTCAGTTCTCTTAGATATGCACCTAGGAGTGGAATTGCTGGACCATAGAGTAATTGTGTGTTTAACTCTTTGAGGAATGGCCAGACTATTTTCCACAGCAGTGGCGCCATTGTACATTCCTTCCAGCAATGCACAGGGGTTTCAATTTCTGCTCTGTCCTTGCAGTCCTCCTGTCGAGCCAGCAGGAACACAGTGAGCGGTTACTTCCTCGCGGGCCGGGACATGACATGGTGGCCGGTGAGTGCACCCTGACTCCTCCCACCCCTCCTTCTATTGGGGCCACATCTGGCCTCCAGGTCAGTTAGCATCTGCATCCTTGAGGTCACTGCCCAGTCCAGTTTAAGCAGGTGGTGATGGGGCAGGCTGAGGCTGTCAGGGGGTCCCCAAGCTGGGGGAATAGGAGTGGGGTCCTGGAAATTGTGTGAAGGGCGGGGGCCTTGGAATCTGGGTGGCTCACAGCTGATTCCTTTTCCTCTCTCCCCACCAGATCGGAGCCTCCCTCTTTGCCAGCAGCGAGGGTTCCGGCCTCTTCATTGGACTGGCCGGCTCAGGCGCAGCTGGAGGCCTGGCTGTGGCAGGTTTTGAGTGGAATGTGAGCTCCCAGAGTGGGTGCAGGGTGTGGGAGAGCACAACCATCCCTCCAGGCCCTGGACAGGAGCTCCACTGGAGTCCACACCTTGATGGCCAGAGGGGCACCTCCCAGCAGCTGAGGCCTGCCAGTGTCCAGATGTGTTCTGTGCAGCAGTGTTCCTGGCGGGGAGCGGGAGGCCTGGTCTACAGAATGCCAAAGTGCTGGACAGACCAACAGGAAGGCAGCTGCTAGCCTTGGCCCAGGCCATCTGTTTACAGAGGTGCCAGGAGGGGAAGGGGCTGCCTGAGTTCTCCTGGCAAGTCAGGCCTCCAGACCCCTGGTCCCAGTTTCTCCTGTGGAGCAGGGCTGTGGGGGCTGTGCCCACTGTCCTCACCCTGCCCCTGTCGCCCGCAGGCCACCTACGTGCTGCTGGCCCTAGCGTGGGTTTTTGTGCCTATCTACATCTCCTCAGAGGTAAGTCTGCTCCTGGAACCTTGCAGCAGCCTCCCTTGGGTCTGGGCCTTGGTTCTAATTGGTGGTGGTGATGGGCAGGACCCTCTGGCTTCACTCACAAGTTGGCAAACTCTCCCAGCTGTTTATTATGCAATTAGCATTGCTATCAGCCCAGCAAGGCGGCCCCAGGATGTCAGCCCAGGTGCCTTATCTGCTGGTTTGCACGTTGGAGTCCACACCTCAGTAGCCAGGGGGGCACCTCCCAGCAGCTGAGGTCTGCCAGTGTCCAGATGTGTTCTGTGCAGCAGTGCTCCTGGGGCACACAAGCCACACACCTGGACAGCACACCTGGATGGCACATCTGGATGGCACACCTGGGTGTTACACCTGGGCTGCAGACCTGGGCAGCACACCTGGGTGGCACACCTAGGCAGCACTGTCCTTGACTCGCCCATTCTTTTGGCCCCAGCTGAGCCGTCACTAAGTCTAGGGGATTCCATTTCCTGGATGTCTCTGCCTGTCCCCTGCTCTGCCCCTCACAGTCACCTTCTCCATTCAGCCTCACATAACTCATCTGGTTTTGTCCTATCAGCTTCCGAGCCTGTCCCTCTGTCCCCAGCAGCGGCCCCTCCAATCCATTCCTCATGTCAGCCTTGAACAGCCCACGTAAGCCTGCCCGCCACTCCCCTGCCTGGAACCCTTAGGAGATGGTGAAAACCCTTCGCCTGAGTTCAGTGCTCAATGTGGGGCCGCACCTGCCCTTGAGCCACTCCTGGCCCGCGTGCTAGTGTGGTCTCAGGAGAGTGACCCTGTCCGGCCTCCCCAGATCGTCACCATGCCTGAATACATCCAGAAGCGCTACGGAGGCCAGAGGATGCGCATGTACCTGTCTGTCCTGTCCCTGCTGCTGTCTGTCTTCACCAAGATATCGGTGAGCCGCCCCCACTCAGCTTCTAGCCAGCAGAGCCTGGGCACATCCCACTCTGGAGGCCCCCCCAAACAGACCTGACATCCTCTCACCCTTGTTTAACATCTGGGGAAACTGAGGCCCAAAGAGGGACAATAACTTGCATAGGGTCACACAGAGAGTTTGTGACAACTGGTCCAGGGCCCCCAGAGTGTAGGCTCAGCAGCCAGCATAGTTGGGGGACGAGTGTAGATTCTGTGACTCCTGATTCACCGCAGGTGCTAGATGTGGGGGCCCCCGGGGGATACTCAGTATCAGGGGCTGGTGGTGGACATCCCTGGTCAGCCTCTGGTCTTCCCTGGACCTGAGCTGAGGTGAGCAGGACTGCCACGAGGGGGCGCTGCGAGCCCGCTTGGTCTGGGCTGAGGTTCAGAGGCTGCATGGAAGCCACCTACTGCCTCTCACTGTGGCTGGTCAGCTCTGTCCCCAGCTGGTCCCCCGGAGCCCCCCCCATCCTGGCATTGG